CCACTTTGGCCATGTCTCCAATCTCATTTTTCTAATGTTAATAAATCTTTAGCCTTTCTAATGTTGTTTTATATGAAGGCTTTTTTTTGTCGGTCATGGGGCTTGAACTCTGGGTCTAAGTGCTGTCCCTGAGCTCTTCGGCTCAAGGTTTAGCACTCTACCACTTCCAATTTTCTGGTGGTTAATTGGAGATGAGTCTCACAGACTGGCTGGCTTTGAACCATGATCTTCAGTTCTCAGCCTCCTGAGTAGCTAGGAATACTGGTGTGAGCTACCAGTGCCTGGCTTGGAGGCTTTTAAACCTGCAACCCTCCCAGGATGGAAGCTTGCTGAGAACTTAGTCAGTTTCCCCACTGTTTTTGGTCTGTGTTCTTGACTATAGTTGATTTGGGTTGCTGAACTTTCTGGAGGCAGGGGTGGAGAAAGCCATGTGCACTGCTCTCCCAGCTACCCACAGGTCCTAGCACCCAGAGGTGTCATTCCAAGTGTACTCATGAGCAGTCTGCTGTTGGTCAAATTATTACTCTCATAGGTAAGTCACGTGATATCTCCCCAGCAACTCTCTGTGTCGCAGGAGGGGACAGGTTGGCACTCACTCAGTCTACCTTATTTGTAGGAAGTCTAAATTGAAGTCTTGTTTTCTTCTAGCTACTGAAGCCCTCAACACCTTCAGAACCTAAAAGCTTTCTGACAGTCATATTCTGGAGAACACAGTCCGGACGCTGTCAGAGAAGATGTGAAGACCTGCAGTCTGCTCCTGCTCACGGTGGGCTCCTCTCTGGCAGGCTGACTCAGTCAGGTGGGTTTTCGCCAGGAACCTCTCGTGAGTCTGGAAGCCTGGTCCCCGGAGGGCGAGGCATTGCTGCCACACTTCCCAGCAGGCATGGGGCCGGGTGTGGCACATGAAGCTGGCACAGTGACTGTAAGCCAAGGGCAGCAAGCGGCAGACTCAAGCTTACCTTCCCTGTGGAGCTCAGGCATGCCTGGCCACTGTTTGACCACCATGTCTGCAAAGACATAGGCCAGAGTAGCAGCCAGGGAAAATGCATGGAGCACAAGTGAGATTCCCAATTGTCCCATGACTGTTTTCTGCTCTCAAGACACAGGAATGAAGAACTGGCAAGAGGACACAGCCAACCAGTGTCCACCCATCTTTGCTAATCTATGCCAGAATTCTCCATTTTCACCCCGCCTCTGCTCCAGCCTGAATCTCAGACCTCTGCACTAAGCGCAGAAAGGGCAGCACAGAAATGGCCAGTGTTCCCCGGGCTGTGTGGCAAGGGTAGACGCCTGGACAGCAACTTACACATATGTAAGTCATGAAGCCCAAATATTCGCTGCGACCCACACACGACCTACACACTCCAGATGCTAAGCGTGCTGCACTAAGGACCGAGGTCCTAGGGTGGACAGCAAGCCCCAGAGGCCTATGATTAAATGGCAAACTTTTATCCCTCCTGGGAGAATCTGTCCATTGCTTGCTAATTCACCCAGTAATGGTCCAGTCAGAATGAATTAACCAATTATTTCCTCCCCATAGACAAAAGCTTCCACACTCTGAAAGCTAGATGGACAAAAGAAGGACACAGTGTGGGGAGAGCAGCCACTAACAAGGGTGGAGACGTCCTACAGGAGTCAGTACTGGGGGCAGGGGTTAGTGAGAGGGGCTCAGGGGAAGCTCTAGCAGAGTGGGGGGGAGGGGAGGAGGAGGAAAGCCTAGGCATCAGTCCTGCCCTATGTTCCAGTGTCCTACCAATGCTTTATATGGATTTAATCTACCCAGAAACCAGAGACCAGGCAGTCTCCATGATGCACAGTAGGGAGTGACAAAAGGGAGACGGGGCTGAGGAAGAGCCAGCAACTGAGTACCCGAGCACCCAACAGTAAGGCAGAGGGCGCTCAGCCCCAAAGGACGCACTATAGCGCGTGGAGACCAGGTGCCGCTCCACACACCCAATCACTCACCGATCTTCTGATTATTCTAGAGACCTTTGCTGCACTACTTAGGTCTTGATTCATCGGTCTGGATTTACAAAGAACAGCATGATTTCCATGGCCAAGCTGACTGCAGAGAAACGAGCAGCCTACTGTCTGAAAGATAGTCTGTGGAAGGGAAGGAAAGGAAAGTTGCTTGGTGACAGCTTTCCTCCACACTGCTTCTGGATGCTCAGTGCTGGACAGGGCAGGGCAGTGAGCGCAGGAAGCCCAGCACTGGGCAGGAAGACCCCAACATGCATTCCCACCCTCAGTAATGTATGCAGGCATGCAGGGCTCAGAGAGGTGTTCCTAAGTAAAAATGGGTACCATCACTTGAGCCATGACACTTACTCTTAGAACTGTATCAGCAACTTCTGAAATAGAAACCACTCCAACCATGAGTCAGAATGGACCAAATAGAAGGGATCGAAATGGAACCTTAGAAAATGAGTTTGAGTTGGGTGCTTGTGGCTCACGCCTATAATCCAGGAGACTGAGATCTAAGGATTGTGGTTCAAAGCCAGCCTGGGCAGGAAAGACTGGGAGACTCTTATCTCCAATTAACCTCCTAAAATCGGAAGTGGTGCTGTGGCTCAAAGTGTTAGGGCACTATCCTTGAGCAAAAAAGCTCAGGGACAGTACCCACACTAAGTTCAAGCCCCACAACTGACCCAAAAAAAAAAAAAAAAAGAATTTGAGGCCTATAGTAAAAAGCTTTTAATATATAGGAAATGATTTAATGATTCAAAAAATCAAATTTGAAAAATGAAAAGAAAAAGAAGGAACACGATATCAAATGCCAAAGTGAAATATCTATACTGAAGATTTGGAGAAAAACTTAATCTGACCTCCCAAAGAGGCCAGAACAGAAAAGAGCTCTGGGGAAGGGCTACAAAACAGGCGGAGCACGTGCAAATTTGCAGTCTGGAATCCCCTACAAACTACCACTGACATAGGCTCCTCTTTGATTCAAGGGAGGCATCTAAGAAGCCACAGACAGGGCCTGGGCACGTTTGTGGGCAAATGGGTCAGCAATGTGAATGAATGGAGCCTCGACTTAATAGAGTCTTCGGAAATTGGGAATTGGTGCCCATCGTTGATTTACCGTTAAGTACTACTCCCTGGGTTCTTGCATTTTCTAAGAAAACTATTTGCTTTTTATTTAACACTGAACCTTCTGATGTTTTAGAATATAAAAATAGTAAGTATCTCATTATTTTAAAAGCTTAGGTGAGAAACTAGCCATATTATTAGAAAAAGAAGATATATGCAGCTATAGTCTGTTCAAATATCAAGAGGTGTGACTTTGCAAATTCACATTTCAATCTTTATTTACATAAGACTTTTAGAAATAGTGGGGGTAAATATTAAAACTCCCAAGCCTGGGTGAAATTTTATTGAGAATAACTACAAATAAAAGGAAACTGATTTTTTAAAGTCAGTTTCTAAAATTTAGATGAAAAGAATATTGAGCATTAACCAAAAAAATGATATTTACATATCAATGTAGGCTTTCTGCTCACAGATTCATTTCCTATGAAACTAACGGAAGCAAGCTAGGGGAATTACAAAGAAAAGAAAAACCCTAATCAAATAGGTACTGTTGTTCAAACAGAATATTAGCCAAAATGATCCAATCAGTTGCTGGAGCTAAATATTATTTTTTTTCTTTAAGCTATTCATGCCAGAACACAACCTTTCAGAGCATAAGAAATCCGTATTACATTCCAAGTGCTTGCCTCCAACAGATGGCGGGATTTCAAAGACACACTCAGAGGGAATGGGTGGGACAAGGAAAGAGTACTGCCAGTCACTAATGAATAGGCCATTGAACCATCATTTCTCAAGTGTTACTTATTCACATTCCAGAGTATATTTGGTAATTATCTGAATCAACCTAAACATACTAAACCCAAACTGCTGAACTTAAAACACAATAGAACGCAATTTTCTGAAGCTAGAGAACAAAAAGCAGAAAAATACACTATACACAGCACGTTTTACTCTAAACTTGTTTTTATATTTATCTAATGACTTCAGATAATCAGCAGTTCATATAATCAGCAGTGTCAGGTTTGTTTAGTACAGAATCAGCCCATCACTATACAACACAGTAGACTGCAGTGTGTCAACTGATGATCCTTTCATAAACTGTCTTTTACTTATCAAAAGCAGAGCAAGGAGAATGATGAAAGGGTACAGTGTACCTATAAAACTGATCTGTTGAAGGCTGACCCCATTGTAAAACTACTTAAAGATAATAAAAATATAATTTTTAAAAAGCAGAGCAATACACTTATTTCTCTGAAGCTCTCAGGAGCAATCTCAAAAACACACATACTTTTCTCTCTCTTGGTCTCTTCCCCCTCACCCCCCCCCATGGTGTCTGGAATTTAAATGCAATTCTATTTTATTACAATATTAAGATTTCAAATTTAAAATAAAAAACCAAGAATTATAGAGGTTATCAAAAACATATTAACTTGTTCTTAGAGTAAGTTCAAAATTAATAACAAAGGTATTATTATGCTAATATATACTTTATGATATTCTGCCCCACAGTGAAGACTGAAAATTGACTCTGGCAGTTTCTGACCTCATCTACTTTGAATGGTGGTGTAAACGCTGTGTTTCCTTCTCAGATCTACAATTTATAAAAAAGTTTACAAAAACACGCAAGAAAAGCTTGTACAGGGAGAGAAAAACCCAATGCTGATTCCCATTTAAATACTCAATAAATTCAAGTCTTTTCCCCAATGTATCCTTAAATGATTTTTGACTTTAGACATACTGTGATCCCTTCCTAAAAACTGGACTTACAATTTCTATTTCTGATCTAAAGTTAGAAACGAATTAGTTTGCACCCCAACAGAATGTTAAAACAAACTCAGATCAATCTTAACCTCTGTTTATGTCCCTTACTCCTTAGAAATGTAATTGCAGTTTTTATTAACTTTGCTTTCTGGATCTAATATTTAAGAAGTCTATCTTTCATGTCACAGTGAGAAGGTTAATGCACTTACGGATTCCCCTGCAATGCATCTTGGGCAGGGCTGGGCTGAGCTCCTTCCACTGTGCTGAGGAGTCTGTTTAACAAACCACAGGCACAGATGTATTAGGACCTGATTATTTACAAGTTTTACTAAAATACTTAAATAGGTTCCAGGGTGCTTCAGTGACGGTAGGAACGCACCTCTGGGCGCAGCCCGCCCTGGCCGCCCTCAGGTGGAGGTGCCGGGGCACAGCCTCGTGGCAGAGGCGGCTGGTCCTCGGTGCTCCAGGACGCCACGGTGCAAGTGCCCACACGCTGGCAGCCACACTCGTGCTCACTGACTCCTGATCGCCTGCAGGCCCGTTTCTGAAACAAGTAAAACGTCACTTGAGATGGCCTCAGAAGGCACACAACACTAATTCAATCTGCTCTCAGGAAACCAAAGCTCCAAACACCGACCTTTGTGGAGATGGGAGCCTTGATGGGGCATCTGAGGGAGACGACATTCAGGTTCCCAGTTCGGGATAACCACCATCCATTATGCTTAACCTCATTACTTCTACCACTGCCTGATAGTTACTTAGCTTTGTAGATTTAAAATAGTCATTTTAAACCATTTTGGCTGAAACTCTTGTAATAAAGTATTGTGACTGCTTTATTGGAAATCTACAAAACCTATAAATTTTCTTCAAGAAACTAGTTATATGCTTCAACACGTTTTGTTTAGTATCAAGTTACATATCCTTTTAACACAATATGAATAATTCATGTGAATATTTCTCTGTCTTACTGGCACTCAAGAGCAAATTAATTTTATTGATTTCAAAATCTATACACAGCTTATAACGGTAATTTCTGGAAAAGTTAGCACTTTGTTTCCTCTTCCACATGAACTTTATAAAGAAGGTACTGCAAAAGTAGTTCTCCAGTGCTCAACAAAAAATACTTTACCTTAAAATCTCAAGTCCTATGTATTTGTAAAGCCACACTGTTTGGTGACAGAGTTCAAGAGACAGAAACTTTCTTCTTCAGGAGTCCTGGAGGCCACCCCGTGAAGGCCTGCTGCTGCCCACCCCATCCCTCTCATCCCCCCCACCCCCCCGTCCTGTCTGCTGGAGATACCTCTATCATCCTTGTCAAATGATTTTTTGCTAATTTATTATATGTAATATTATTTAGTTGGTATTTTCTAAATTGACTTATTTAACCTCATGGATTTACTAATGTAGAAAACTTAAACCATGGATTTAGAGCATTCATTTTATCATTCTCTAACACACCTGTATACTAAAAGAATAAGTTGGGGCTGGGAAGGTGGCTCAGTGGTAGAGCACTTGCCTTGCATGCCTGAGGCCCTGGGTTCGATTCCTCAGCACCACATAAGCAGAAAAAAAAA